CCTATAGCCTCACAAAGCCAAACCACAACACACAAAAAAAGAAAAATTATATGAAAAAAAAAAAGAAACCACACAACGCATTACCACAGGCCCGAGAACATCCCCGAGGAAAACGTTATTGCTCAGAGGTTGCTCTTTCATAGCTCAGGAGACGTACAGTTATGCTTGAGTTCTCAGTTATGCTTAATTTGAGCATCAGCTTTGATACTCTGAATAGTGTTAAACTGTAATGCAAATAAATGAGACAATCATTTACTTATAGAGACAGAACACAAACACAGCAGAAAATGATATTTCCCAGATGAGCAGTTAGTTATACAATACAGCATTGCTGTGGACTAGTGTTGCTTTCGTCAACGAAAATTATGACTAAACATCGTCGTCAACGAACCTTTATCACGTGACGAAAACGAGACGAGACGAAAATTTTCTAATGTCGCCAACAATTAGAGATGCACTGAAATTCCGGCTGCCGAAAATTAGTTCACCGTTTAGGATTCACTTTCACGTGGTGTGACGCTCTGCGTATTATCCCGCTTGCTCCGCTCAGTCGCCCACGGCCCATGTGAGTGCTCCACTCATGTAGCGTTCATGCTCATCGGAACAGCAAAGTCCACTCAAAAATCAAGCTGACAGGCAACATCTATGTAGTACAGTCTTGTTTCTGTTTGCAATAGCCCTACTGTGCTTTAACAACGTGTGGTAAATGGGCAACTCTGGTTACGCTGTCCTCTCATTCATTGATCTGCTAACTAGTGTTGGGTCGTTCTTGAACGATTCGTTCGTTTTGAACGAATCTTTAATGTGACTCGGGAAGAACGAGTCGTATCGGGGAGTGATTCGTTCAGTCGCGCATGCGCAACATCCTATAGGTTCTGTACTGGAATTAGTCAAGTAGTTCACCTGTTTCGAGTCTCCTCTATTTATGTTGTATACTGTAATACAGTGTTTCCCAACCGGGGTGCCGTCTGTTGAGAGCAGGGGTGCCGTGTAAAAAAAATCCTTTTTTTTATATTTTTAAATTGCTAAAATGTTCAAAAAAGCAGCTATTATATAATATCAATTTCTAATGTCGCCAACAATTAGAGATGCACTGAAATTCCGGCTGCCGAAAATTAGTTCACCGTTTAGGATTCACTTTCACGTGGTGTGACGCTCTGCGTATTATCCCGCTTGCTCCGCTCAGTCGCCCACGGCCCATGTGAGTGCTCCACTCATGTAGCGTTCATGCTCATCGGAACAGCAAAGTCCACTCAAAAATCAAGCTGACAGGCAACATCTATGTAGTACAGTCTTGTTTCTGTTTGCAATAGCCCTACTGTGCTTTAACAACGTGTGGTAAATGGGCAACTCTGGTTACGCTGTCCTCTCATTCATTGATCTGCTAACTAGTGTTGGGTCGTTCTTGAACG